CCTCTCTTGACTTCTTGCGAGCTGAGTAAGTTCCCTCACTGACAAAGTAGGAGCATAATTACCTTTTGGGGTATAAAGAGCAGAAACGCAGGCAAGGTGACACAGTCATAGAATGAGTCTGTCTGCGGATACGGGGAAGGACACGCACTTCCTCCAGTCAGGACCGCAGCTCGGCTCTCTCTGGGCACCGGCGTCCTTCCACTCTCCGCCCTGCACACCCCCGCCCCCGCCCAGGACCAGCTCCTCGGGCCGTCGCACACGTGGCTGGAAGCACCTGTGTCTCTGCCTTACATCAGGTGATCAGCAGGGACTGGTCAGGGCTGGGTCCCAGGCCCATCTCTTAGGAGAGAGGGGAGGACTGGCTCAGCCTGGGGCACACGTCCACCCCGACCCCGGCAAGCGACGGCCAGAGGGCTGGCAGCCGGGATCCACACGCGCTGTCGAGGGCCAGGCTTGGAGAGGAGACCAGGGGCCGGCCAACGCCCTGAAACCCAGAGGCTGCGGGGCTTTGCATGGTTGGGGGCAACAGGGGCTCAGCTCAGTTCCAAGATGTGATGATATGGCAGGTCTGACCTCCACCCTGACCCCAAAACTACTAGTGCTGGGACCTCTGCCAACCTTGGTTTGCTCATCTTCAAACGTGGGAACCACCACACCTGCGGGGTCTCCCGAAGAGGGGGGTCCCGCCTGACAAGCGCTGGGCAGGATGGGGGGGAGGCCGATGCCCTCTGGGCCTGGGAGGCCCTGGATTCCAGGTGGTGGGCCGTGGGGCCTCTATGGCTTCAGGCTGCAATGGGCCCTATTTGCCAGAATGGTGTTCCCGGATCAGCCCACCCTGACGGGGCGCTGGGGTTTGGCTGGGTCGCCAGAAATGGGCCTGCTCTTCTCTGGACCTGACTCCTCGTCTACAAAGTCAGGGTCCCAGTGCTGGCTCTGCCCTCCCATGGCACCATGGACCCTAGGGAGGGCTGCCTGGGGTCCATTCCCCTGCCGCCTTATGGCCGCTTCAGGGTAAGGCTGAGGTGGGCTGTGGCATCCTGGGAGCCCCACAGGAGGGCAGGGAGCAGGGGAGTCGGGCCAGCAGCTGTCGGCTGTGCTTGGTCTCACCTCAGCAAAAAGCGTGAAATGCATCTGGACAGCAGGCCTGGCCCCTGCCCAGCATCCCCCCGCCAGCCGCCTCGCCTGCACACCCAGCTCCCTGGATCTGGCCCCAGGTCGGCCTGCACCCTTGGCAGGGCCAGCAGGCCAGCTGGCCTCAGCCGCCCCGGGGGCCAAGGCGGGTGGGAGCTGCCTGGCAGGGTGCCCAGGAATGTGGGGGTCCCCGGGGCTCCTGCCTTGTCTGTGTGGCCTGCACTGTGTCTTCCTGACTTGGGCCCTGTCTGCACCTCTGTCTGAATTTGGAGCTGTCTGTGAGTCTGCGTCTCGTTGTCTCATCACTTTGGGTCTGTCCAGATCTGCCTTTCTGTCTGTCTGTCTGTCTGTCCAGAGTCTGGGTTCCCACCCCAGCCTTGCCGCTGAGGCACAGTGTTGCCTGGAAAGACTCTCCATGTCGGTACATGGTCGTGCTCCCCGCCATCTGTAGACGGGGTGCTGGCCTTCCTGCCCAGCCTGGCCCCCTCCCCAGCTAGCTGCAGAGTCTGCAGGGAAACCCCTACACCTTCCACCTCACCTCACCCCTCCTACACTGCTGCCCGAGTGCAGGGGCCCAGCCCCTCCCTCCCCACACACCAACTGCTCAGATCTTGAGTCTCCGAATGAAAATCCCATGTCAATTCTCACACATTCCTGGAAGGGGAAAAATGGGCCCAGATTCCAGCAAGTTTTTGGCAAGGTTTATCAAAAAACTTCAGAAACGTGCACACCATAAAGCTATTTGTTGCACATTCCTGTAATCTTTTAAAGTAGGAAATAATGCAAATGCTCACCCATAGAGCCTGGTTGAGGAAGCTCAGCTTCCCCACACTATGGGGCAGCAGGCTCTGCAGGGGTCCCTGGGGATGTTCAGTGTGACCAGGGCGCATATGGTCCATGCAGTGATAGATGGCCTGGGGAGATGGGGAAGGGGCAGAAAGTATATACAGAATGCCATTTTGGAGTAAGAGAAGGAAGGAACTACATATTCGCTTATATTTTTAGAAAGAAGCAATGGGAGGTAAACCCAGAACTAAGTAAAATTGTCCCCTCTGGGGCAAAGCAGGGGAGAGGTGGGAAGGGAGACCTCTCTGCACCTGGTTTTATGCTTTTGACTTTGGAACCAAATGTTTTCTACCATTTAAAGGCAAAACTAAATCAATTAAAAAAAAAAAAAAGTAAGAACTAACTGGAATAAATGAGTCTGAGTATCAAGTTGGTGGAAAAACCATCCTAAGAATTATCTCAAGTGACTTTGAGACAGTTTTTTTTTAACTATCCACCCCTCAGGGGGTAAGGACAAAAAAGAGGAACAAGTACGTATCCTGTTCCATTCAGTGGATGTGTTAGTAAAAATATTGGTAATGTTATTTTTAAATTATTATATGTAATAGGGAAAAACAAGGAATAAAGTCAATATAAACTCCATGTTTTATTTTTCTTTTCCTAAAAAAAAAAAAGTATTCCCTGGCTGTGGTGTCTGAAAAAGCATAGAACCAATGAAAACTCAGGAACAGCAAGCACCCTTAGTGCTCAGACTATGTTCTCTACCAACCACTTCCCACTAAGAGACCCAGGCTGTCACAGAGGAACAGTGGGTCCCAAGGCCAAGATGAGCTGGGACATCTTGTGCCTGAAAGCCAAATATTATCAAGGATTAGTGGGGGGTCCTATCAAAATGACACAGGAGTGGGCGCCTGGGTGGCTCAGTTGGTTAAGCGACTGCCTTTGGCTCAGGTCATGATCCTGGAGTCCCGGGATCGAGTCCCGCATCGGGCTCCCTGCTCAGCAGGGAGTCTGCTTCTCCCTCTGGCCTTCCTCCCTCTCATGCTCTCTGTCTCTCATTCTCTCTCTCTCAAATAAATAAATAAAATCTGAAAAAAAAAAAAAAGACACAGGAGTGAACGTGGAAGGGCCTCCAAACCCACAGTCCCAATGGGGTCATCTGAACACCAAGAAGTACATTAAATATATAAAAATCAGTGAGATCAAAGTGATACTAGGAAACCACCACACACCTCTTGGGGAGCCGACATATTCTGGAAATTGATAAGGAAGTGAGCATCCGGGCCTTTCCCCTGCAGCCTGTATTTTAGGATAACCGTGTAGGTATTAGGGAAAGTTCTTTAGAGAAGAATCAGAGTTGAGAAATGCAGGAGAGATGATAGTGTTTGAAACGTCACTCTCTGCAGCCCCTAATGAAGTAATGGATCTAAGTAACAATCTCCAAAGGCTGCTAAATCGATTAGGTGGAGGGCCAATAAGGAACCTTCCACTGGAGGAACCGGGCTGACAGCAGCTGAACCCCACCGGTTATTCTCGACATGACGACGAGAGGGACGGAGTCTCAGTCCCTGGAAGCGATGTGATAGGAAGCCAGTTTAGAGGACAAAACAGTGATAGAGGGACCACGTCCAGTGCCACTCAAGGAGACCCAGCCCCCTCTAGTACATGGAAAATTCTGTCAGAGAAATGACCCAGTTTCTTCGATAAACAACCTGGGGCAGGGAGTGGGCGAGGAGAGTGGAGGGAACTGAAATGTTCTAGAGTCAAAAGAGCCAAACGCAACTGGATGCTGATTTGAACAAACCAACTGTAAAAAGACATTTTGGAGCTGATGGAAGGAAGCTGAACACAGACTGGGTAATTTTTTTTTTAAGTCTTCATCTGTCAGATTTTGCACTAAACTGATATGCTCTGGGATTTCCTTTCATATCCTCGATTCCACCACCCACCCACCCCCCGCCCACGCCATGTCCCTGCAAAAGAGGGATGGCAAATGGGAACGGGGAATGCTGGAGCCAGCGACTCCTGGCTTGTAGGAGAGGCTTGCTAGCCATCCAGGAACTTTGCAAGCCAGTTGTCAAACCTTTGTAACTTGAACCAGGCCATAGTGAGAAGGGGCATCAGCTACTGCTCTAAGCGGGGCGCTTTGATTCTGGAACGGGTTTATCGGCGCCCGGGTGGGCGGACAGAACAGCTAGCAAGACGGTAGCTAATGACGCACGTTCGTTCTGCTTTTGTTTCTGTGACTTGTGCCGTGATGTAGAGTTTACAAAGGGGCCTGTCCTTTGGCCTAGAAAGCCCACTTCTAAGAATTTATCCGCAAAGAGGAACTGAAGTAGGCCATGGCTCGGATGACTCCAATCACTTAGCTACAAGAACGCTTACTGAAAAACATCCACTTTGAATATTTCTCTTTAATGTAAACAACCTAAATATCAAAAAAGGATTGGTTGTCGGTTGTCAGCCGTTGAAAGGTGACAGAGTTCCGGAGCGTGTTCCATACACAACAGTGTGGCGTATTTAACGCCCCTGAACGGTAAGCTTCACATGGTTACGATGGCAGACCAGGTTATATGTATTTTAGCCCAGCTAAAAATTTTAAAGAAAACAGGTCGGTTATGTCATACAATGGAATATGCCTAGAAATCATGTCGTGGAAGGAAATGTAATGATATGGAAAAATAAGGATGATCTTGTTAGGTTACAAAACCATATGTTCAGCTTGACTGTGTTTGGGTGAATTTAAAAATGCGTGAGCTCGGGAGAGCCGGCTGGAAGGGCGCCATTCCCTGAGAGCGTGCTACGCTGAGTGCTGAAGTGCGTGCTCATGGAATCTTCTCAGAGCCCCTGGAGCCAGGCTGGGGCATGCCACTAGCATCAGCCCCTCCAGATGTGGAAGCCAGGCCCCGGAGAGGGAGGGGCAGAGCCCGCCTGGGTCTCCTCCTGCCCCTGCCTCCTGCCTGCATGCCGGGGGGTGTTTGGTCTCCCCCTTTCAGCCAGTGTCCTCAACCTTCCAAGCTCTAAGGGGTTGCTTGTGCAGCGAGGAAGCAATGATGCAGTGAAGCTGGTGGCGTGTGTTGCAGGCTGTTGATGGAGAAGGGGGCGGATGACAGCCGGGACAGTGGTCATCACCGGGGGCATCTTGGCGACTGTGATTCTGCTCTGCATCATCGCTGTTCTGTGCTACTGTCGGCTCCAGGTAGTCCCGGGGCGCCGGGGGGGTGCGAGGAGGGAGCCCCCCACCCCCGCGCTCGCGAGGGCTGGGGACCAGGAAGAGGGGGAGGGTCAGGTCCTGCAGAAGGCGCAAGCAGACAGCCCTGGCCTGGGTCCCAGCTGTGGGGGCTCAGGATGTGGCCACCTGGCTCCCCTCACCCAGGGCTCCCCAGACTCCCTGCAAGGGGAGGCCACTGAGGCTCAGGGAGGATAAGGCAGGAGAGCGGGGGTGGGTGCCTGCGCCGTGCTACTCGCCCCACCCCGCCCATCCCGTAGGGCCCCCCACGTCTCCCTGAGGGGAGGGGAAGCCATAAGTGCAGGGCGAGGCAGCACAGCCCGGCGCCCATCTTCGGGCCGCTTGACCCTTCTGTGCCTCAGTTTCCCCACCTGCAAAATGGCGATGATCCTCGTGCCTGCCTCCCGCTGCGGTGGGGATGAAACCGGCCCGTTCCTCCCTGCGGCGCTCGGCAGGGGGTCCGGCCTGAGCGTGCCCCGAAGTGTGGCCACTGCGCGGGGGGCGTGGGCGGGAGCCGGGGGCGGGAGCCGGGGGTCACCAGCCCTCTGCCTGCAGTACTATTGCTGCAAGAAGGACGAGTCGGAGGAGGACGAGGAGGAGCCTGACTTCGCCGTGCACTCGCACCTGCCCCCGCTGCCCTGCGGCCGCAACCTCGTGCTGACCAACGGGCCGGCGGTCTACCCGGCCGCCTCCACCTCCTTCAGCCAGAAGACCCCGCAGGCCCGCGCCCTCTGCCGCAGCTGCTCCCACTACGAGCCACCCGCCTTCTTCCTGCAGGAGCCCGAGGACGAGGGCGTGCGCAACGGCGGGGAGCGCGTGGCCTACCAGAGCATCGGCCAGGAGGACGCGGAGCTGCCGCCCGGGAGCCTTGGGGGGCTGCAGGCGCTCAACCCCAACCGCCTGTCGGCCATGCGGGAGGCCTTCTCCCGGAGCCGTAGCATCAGCACAGACGTCTGAGCGGCCCGCCCGCCCGACGGGGCCCCAGACCATGGTGGGGTCCCCGGGCCGCATCGGCCTGGCCCCGGGCCAGGACCAGGGCCCGGCCCAGCCCTCCTCGCCTCCCTGTCACCACGGGGCCCGTGGGGGAGCTCCGCGGCTCACGGCACGGATGAGGCCCTGTGAGCACACGCGTGGCCGCCAGGGGTAGGGGCTGCGGGGCCTGGGGCTGGAAGGCAGGCAGGCGCAGGCGAGGGGTGGTTCCCGGGTGTCAGGCTGCAGGGCAAGGCAGGGCTCTGGGGGGGGACCCCGGGCTCCTGACGGTGAGGCTGCCTTTCAGTGAAGCCGCCGTGGAGCGTGGCCCCCGGCCCGGCCCCGGGGACGTGGCCATCCCTGGCTGCGAGACCTGACCCCGTCCCCTCCCCTCCCTGGGCCTCCGCTTTCCCACCTGTTCAAGGAGGAGGGGTGACTGGCGATGCCACTGGCCCGGTAGCAAGTGCAGACCGAGTATTCTGTCCTGGAAAGGGCGCCGCTGTCCCCCCCCCCACGTCCCCCTCCCACACACACCCCTGGCTTCCAGGGCCAGGCTGCTGAGACACTCTTTGGGCAGGCCTCACTGCAGATGCCCTAGATGAGTTTCAGGGGCAGCCGGGCCCTCGCCATTCATAGCCCCACCTGGGTTTTTGGCGACAGAGGGAGGCACAGAGGGACGAAGAGGCCACATGCCGACCACCTGCTTCAAGAGCGTCCACACCACGATACGCGCCCCCTTCTGAAGCTGCAGTGTGGTAGGCAGACAGAGCCAGGAACAGGACCAGAAAGACCCACTATCTCCCCATGAGGCTTGGGACAGGCCCTCCTACCCACTGGGCCTCAGCCTCCGGGGGCCCTTCAAGCTCTGGTCCCCAGGAGAGACCCCCCGAGCTCTCCCACCCAGCCCCTGTGTCTCGGGAGGATCTGGGAGCAAGGCCCATGATCCTGCTCTCGCTCCATGGAGGGCCTCAACTGAGCCCACTCCCCACCAAGCTCCCAGCAGGGCCAGGGTCTCCCTGGGAGCCCACCCTCCAACTCCCTCCCTCCAGCTGGGGAAGTGATACCCAATGGCCACCCCATGGAAATGACCCAAACCCAGCGCCCCAGGCATGGGGAACGCAGCTCCCCCACCCAGCCAGAGGCAACAAGCATTTCCTTCTCTGCAGCAGGGCCCCAGAGCCCCCGGCCCTCTTGGGGACCGCCGTGGAGCCCCCAGGGTAAGGTAGCCCCTGTCTGCCAGGGATACAGACCAAGCTCCTCAGCCAAGCCATCTTCCTAAAAGACAGATCTTTGAGGGTCCCTGAGCCACGGGCAACCTGAGCACCTGCCTCTTGCCGAAAGCCCCAAAGAGTGGAGTCATCTGGATGTGAGAAGACTCGGGGGAAGACAACTATTTTTAGCTTTCTGGATTATTTCCCCTTCTTCCTTTGTCCTCCTGCCTCAGTTTGGACACGCTATTGGAATCCATCCCCAACTTTCCTTGCAGCCGATCTCCTCTCCTTTGTGGAACCCCATGAGTTTGTTTCGTGCATTTGCTTGGGGGGTGGGCTGGGGTGGGGGGCGAGCCCCGAGAGGTGACACTTCTGCGGGCGGGTCTGTCCCGGGTTCCTCTTTCCTTCTCTGGTCTCTATTCTCTGTATAGATTCATAGATCCACTTGAAATGAGATAAGCACCCCTCCGTGTGAGCTCACGCAGCTGCACTATGGGGACCTGTGGGGAGCTGGTGCTCCCTGAGGAAAGCGAAAGCCAATAAAGCTCATCTCTGCCACCACCGCCACGCCGCCGCCTTCGGTCAGCCTGGGACTCCAGGCCAGCCCAGACCCCTCCCCGGCACTGTCTGGGAGGGGGCAGCGTCCAGTCCCGTGCCAGGAGGAGTTGGCCTGTCCTCTCCCACCCGGGGGGTCAGGGCATTTCCCGGGGTGGTCGTGTCTGTTTGCCAAGGCTGGGAGCCACTGGCCTAAACTCTGAGCTCCTGGAGAGCGGGGTGGCGGTGACGGGCTGAGTCACCTGGGACGAGTGGTGGATGATCTCTGGGCCTGTGCTAACACCAACACGGTGGGGAGATAGCGATGCCCGCTTCATGGGGCTCTTAGGAAGCCCATGACGCAGAGCCTGGCACACAGTAAGGGCACAGTGAGTGTTGTTGGAAAGCAGGATGGGGGCGGAAGGCCGAAGAGAGGGGGAGGAGGGGGAGGAGGGGGTGACAACAAGGCACAGCAGAGGGGTGCATCAGGGAGACCCAGACCCCTGGATTGCGGTGGCCCACCTCCCCTGGAACCGAGCTGGGGACCTCATGCAAGCCCACGGCCTCAGTGACCTTCAGCATCCATCCCCATCGCAGCCCCGTGCGGTGAACCCGGCTCTGGCCCCGGTTTGGGGAAGCGGCTGGCGGCACATCCCAGGGAAGCCACCTGCCCTCCTGCCACCTGTCGCCAAAGGAGACAATCCCTGTGGCCTCCTGGGCCCTGTGGCAGTCTCACTTCCGGAGGTGGGTGGACACCCAGGTCTTCCTTCCCTCCACCGAAGCCAGAGCAAGTTGCTTTCAGCGTCTTCCACACCCCCCCCGACCCTTCCCCTGGAGACTTTGTGCTCGCTGCTTTCTCTTCTGCACACCCTTCCCACCCCTTCATCCAGGAGAAGGACTCCTGCTGCTGGACCGGCCGAAATATCACCTCCCCCAGGAAGCCCTCCAGATCAAGTAGTCCTATGAGGCCCAGAAACAGTAATGATGGAGGGTGTTCTCGAGCGCCCAGTGTGGGGCCTGCCCTGCCCTCCCGATTTCCTCCTCCTTCCCTACACACCCCAAAGTGGGGGTTTTTCTCCGGAGGTTCGGAGGTTCGGGGCAGGCGATTCCTCCAGCCCCACCCCCCGCGCCATCCCCAGCTTCCACACCAGCGAGTGGGCGTGAGATTGGCTCAGTTCTGAGTACAATGTCGGAGTCCTGATGTGCCCCGTCCCCCTCACCCCTGCAGGCACCCCACCTCTGCGTGCTTGCCCCCGACTGTCACCTCCTCAGGGAGACTCTGCCGCTCGGCCGAGGCCCCAGCAAATCTTCCTGAACTCGCGAGCTGGACGGCCTGGCTCTCAGAGCCCGACAGCTACCCCAGCCCTCCTGCCGGAGCCCCTGGGAACCCGCGACGCCGCCATAAATACGACCACTTTATTAACATACAGGAGTACTGACTGACGACCATATCCCAGCGTGCCGTGAGAAGCAGTGCCTCTCCCGGGGCCTAAAGTGCAGCGGGTCCCTCCGTGCGCGAGAGCTTCGTATAACGAGGCAAGGGGACGCTCGTTGCGAGATACAATTCCTCTGGAAGGAGCACGCCTAAACAGGATCCGGGTCCGAGGTGGCGCCTGGATCTCCCGGCCGCCCCGGCCCTCCTCGACCCCACAGCCCCGGAGGGAGAGGGGACGTTCCCAGGCCCCTTGGGTGGGGCTGGGGCCCGGGCTGGGTGCTGGGGCGTGGGAACCGCAAGCACGCCGTCCTCGTAGCTCCAAGAACGCCTTCCCAGGCAGGGACGGCTCTGTCGGGGGCTCTCCCTCCCCGGGGGAGAGCAGAGGCTCAGTGTCTCGTCTTCACAGCCCGGGCGCCCTCGGGAGGGGTGTCCGTGGAGGGGCCCCAGGAGCTGCGGGGTGGCCCCAGGGGCGGGGCGCTCGGGTCTCCGAGGGGCGGCGGCAGGGCCTAGGAGTGAGGGGGTCTGCAGGAGTGGCAGCATGCCTTGCTGTAGTACCAGTGACCGCAGAGGTTCACCTTGATGGCCAGGGCGCAGTTGGTGCCTGGCTGGTCCTGGCAGCTGTCATCTGGGGAAGGGACGCGGTGGGGGGCATCAGAGGTGGCCAAGGGGTGAAAACTCAACAGGACGGGGCCCACCCCCACCCCACTGCCTCCTCTCCTCAACTGCAGGAGCTTGGTCCACTCGGGGGTGGTCCGAGGCAGCAGAGCACCTGGGGGGCGGTGGCCCCTACCTGCCCGTTTCTAGGTGCAGGGGCAACGGGCCCCCCACCCCACTTGGGGCCCTCGAGCGCTATTCCTCTGCCACCCCTTTCCTGCCGATATCCCCCCAGTGGTTTGATCTGTGCATAAGAATGGTGACACCCAGAGCCAGGGTTGGGGGGAGTCCTTGACCTCACTTCCCAGGAGGTCCACAGGCCCACAGGCATCCCTGCTATGGAACAGGTGTGAAGCGACTCATCACCCGCCCTGGGGCCCCCACAGAGCCTAGCACCCTGCCCCTCTTCCAGGCACTCAAGCCCTCCATCAGCCCTCGCCACCCGCCCGCCCGTGCCCAGCACCTGAGCTGTGTATCCCGTTCAGGCTGAGTCATCCTGGATACGCTGGTGTCTGCCCATAGTTGGCCCCATCTTCTGAAGCCAGATGCCCACCTTGGCATGGCTCCTGGGGACCCTGAGCCCCAGTTAGGTCTCACCTGCCGCCCTGCCCACCCTCACCTCCTAGCCGGGTTCAGCCATTTGGGGGCAGGTGGGGGGAGGAGGGGTGGAGCCTTTGCTCCCCCATAGGACTTGGTGTCCCCAGCCACTAGACCCTCCTGGCCCCTTGGCTGACACCTGCTCATCCCTCAGGCCCTGGCTCTGCCCACATTTGTCGGCCTCCCCCTTCTCACCTGGGGGCTCTGTGGGGCAGGGCTGCAGGTCACAGGCCTGCCTGCCGACAGGCTTCACCAGCGGGTCGCAGCCCCGGACGATGTCCGTTCCCTGGTAGCATTTCACGTCTCGCATCCGCACGCCCACCCCACAGGTCTTGGTGCACTGATGAGAGAGAGAAAATGACTGAAGTCCCCCCCTCCCAACCTGGCAGGACAGGGTTTCCAGCCAAAGAGGGACTCCCACCCCTCCCCCCAGGCTGCTGAGTCTCAGTGGGGGGCGGGGGGTGGACAAGAAGCCTGACGCTCATCCCCACCCAGGGCCACTCAGCTTCACCACACATTTGCACCTTGAAGCAGTGGGCCCCTCCTCTCCCCACTGTCCCTGGGTGGGTCCTTTGGTCTCAGCTTCCCCGGGGCCCGTGAGACAGAACACTCCAGACACATGGGGCCATGGCCGAGGGAGAATGCTGGTTTCCCACTCCAGTAAAACACTGTTTGTCGTGGGCCAATTAAACCCATCTTCCAAAGTCGCCACTCCCACCGGAGGCTCCCCCGTCCAGATGTTCCCCTTGGAAAACCCTGCTGAGCTACCCAGAACACCAGGGACATCTGCTGACCCCAGTTGCCCCGTCATCCTCCTGCCGAGATCTGACAGGCAATGGCTCTCTCTTGTTCTCCCCGATATGGGTGACCCCACATCACCCAGGCACATCTGGGGCCTGAGCCCTCAATTCCCCAAGGGGGCGAAGGGTGGGAGGCCCCAGCCCTGGACCCAGCCTCCCATTTAACTGATTAAGACTTAGCCGGGAGGACACCCACCCACTCCCAGCGTGGGCGGTTGGCCCGGGCAGGAGACAAGAGGAGGCCAGCTTGGCACTGAGCACAGAGGACCGCCCACCACGGGTGGGTTCCCCGAGGAGCCTCTGGCTGTAGCCCCAGAGGGAACCCTCTGCCCCCGGGGAGTAGAGAGGACAGCTGGGAGTGTGAGCTCTTACTGAGCCCGCATCCCAGGGAGGGGCAGCCACAGGGACAAGATGCCAGAGGCCCACACGCCCACAGTGGTCCATCTGTGTCAGTCACCCCTCACCCACCCATTGTCAACAGAGCAATACGGGGCTGTCCCTCCCCCAGCGCTCTCAGGACATCTGGGGGGGTCTGCTCCCTCTCTGTGGCTTTCCTCCCTTCCAGGTCATGGCACCCAACCCCCAGCACAGCACCTGCACTGGGACCAGTAGGTCCTGGCCCCACCCCCACAGCTGCCCCCATCTTCTGAAGCTGGTTCCTGGGGGCCTAGAGCCCCAGGCAAACTTCAGCAGCCTCCCAGCCCCACCTGATGCCCTCCCCATCCCCCCCTCCCAGCCAGGCGCTGCCACTCGGGGGGAGACTTGGCCCCCTGACATGCCTCGCTCTGCTCTCTGTAGCCACTAGACCCTCCTGGCCCTTGGACGCCTGTTCACCCTTTGGACCCTGGCTCTGCCCACGCCTCGTCTGGAAGCCTCCGCCCCACCCTCAGCCCCTTTCCTTCTCCCCGGGTGGGTCCTTCTGTGGGCAACACAGTATGAATAAATGTGTGTGTTTTTGCTCTTGAATGAGCATGCGTGCTGTAGGAAGCAGAGGTCCCATCTAGGGCAAGATTCACGTCACCACAGGTCTTTCCACGGAGAACCCTGAGCCTGGGGCTCACCCTCTGGGAGGGGGGCAGCACTCATAGAATCCCCAGACTCACCCTGTCTTATAGACTCTAAAAATCTTCACCTTGAACTCTAAGGTTTAGGGATTTGGCCTCCACCATCCTAACAACCAAGACCGTGGAAACCTTGGGTATGGTGTCTGAGGCACACTGCAGAACATCACGGCTGAGTGTCCAGGGCTCCCCGTCCCATGTGACACCCCTGCGTCATCCCCATAGTGTCCAGAGCTGGCCCATGAGGACACTGAGGCCAGAGGCTCTGGAAACTCCAGGTGGCACAGCCTAGCCACAGCGGCACTGGCCCTGGGGCTCCTGTTCTCTGTCCCCACCCCACTCGGTGATGCTCAAAGACCACTTCGGGCCTCCCCTTGTGCCACCTCTTGAGAGCAGATGACATCATTAGGTGGAGAGGGGCCTGGGGGCCCAGGAGGGACATTGTTGCTAAGGACACACTAGGAGACCATGGAGGGGGTGAGTGAGGGGCACTTGGGGCGGGGGCGAGGTACCGTGGCAGGACCAGAACTCAGGGCTGGCCCGAGGGGGCAGAGGGGCCTGCAGGGCGCTCACCTCTGACCACGGGCTGGTGTACCACTTGAAGCAAGGTCTCTCGAAGCAGGTGCTCTCCTCGGGGGGCTTCTTGGCCAGCCCGCACTCGGGGCCGCTGCGGGTCTGTGGCTTCCCGTTGGCCAGCTCCATGCACAAGACCAGCCTCTTCTTCACACCCCGGCCGCAAGTGGTGTTACACTGAGGCCGGGGGACAGATGGGGCCGGGTCAGAGGCCAGAGGCCAGGAGGACCAGAACACAGCACATGTGTGACTGCAGCCATAGGGCTTGGTCACCAACAACGGGTGAAAACGTTTGCATCCCTGGGAAATCGGCTGAGGACTCTTGGTTGATAACCATTTGGCCCCAGACACATCTGATCAAAAGCAATTGACTACAAAACCATCTGTTTTCAAACAGAATGGTTAATGACACTTTGTCCCAACAGGACTCGGCTAATACTGGTCCACCCGCAGCAACTTGGCGAGAACGACTCGTCCCGAGGGGCAAGTCAGTGACTGGCTGGTCAGTGGGCAGACGAGGTGGTTGTGGGAGCAAATGGCTGAGTGCCCGCCCCCCCCCCCACCCACCCTGGTTTTCCCTAAATCTGGAAAGTGGGGACCGAGAGGGGCAGGGGAAACACGACCCATTCAACATGCCTCATCCAGCACTTGCCTCCTTAGATTTGGCAAGTTTTAAGGGGTGTTCTTC